TTATTCTTATCAAGGACCCCAACTATGGAATACGCATGATAGAGACACATATCAAAGATCATTAAGTTCAATGGAAATCATAAGCATTGACGAGGCATTCATAACTATGGAAAACGCATGTTACTCTTGCCAAGGATTTACTTAACACAATCGTGACTAGCGACTTTTACTACTTATGAATATAAGTTAATAACGATTAGGTGAAATTCCCTTATACTCTAGCATCAAATTCATGCATGCGAACTAAGTGTCGACCCTCAATCAACATACATAAACATGTTATCAATCAAATAGATAAGTAAACCACATTCACGATTTATGAAATCATAACTGGAGGAAATCAAGTCATATAAAACATATGATCATGGCTTTGAATTCCCCTCTAACTATAAAGAAATTAGTTCCTCATGTTCGCAAATAAACAAAGATAAATAAATTTAAACATTGACATAAAGATAGAAAACACCTAGAAACGCTCCAAAAATCCAAGCTCCTTGAATGGCATGCACGGCTCCAAGAGTCTCCTTCCTTCTCCTTTGCAAACTCACGGCACAAAAGGGATATTTGGGTGAATGGTGTAGTGAAAATATGGTAGAGGGTGGTGACTAAATGGTGCAGCAAAGGATGGTATTTATAGGATGAAATTCGCAGCCCCTATGTAGCAAAGGAAAAGGATTTAAAGACCTAATTTGTATAGGATAATAACGCACAATCCTTGAAGGAAAAGGCTAAGGCTTTTAGAAACCAAGGGGGAAAGGAATAATCAGGTTTCTAGAAGTTCTAGAAAGGTTTGGGGCGTCACTTTTGTAGGACAAGGGATAAGCCCTTCTAGAAAGGTTGTTTTGTGGCTGATTTCTAGAAAAACAAGGGATAAGGTGCAACACCTTTGTAGGAGTGGATAAGGGCTTCTAGAAACCTATTTTTAATGTGTTTTAATCTGAAAATAAATCCCCTTTGCAACTGGAATTAAGTTAGGATAGGATTAGGATAGGATAAGATAAGGTAAGGTTGGATAAGATTTTGGATAATGTTCCTTCTTTTGAGCTGATTTCTTATCTTCCTTGACTTGGATTTATTTCTTCACTCTTTTCAGCACATTCCTAGCCTCTTGAACTTCAAATTCGTCCATCCATCTTGCTCCATTCATAAGCTATCCATTTGGTGCCCAAAACTGCCTCAAAATGCTCCAAATTGCACTTTCTTGCCAACTTTGTCATATGGACCTACAAACACACGAAAATAGCTTAAAACACTATAATAAACACAAACAAACTATGAAAATGCAAGAAAACAAGCTAACTAAGTCGCATAAATATGCTCCTATCAATGGTTTCTAATATTCCTTGGATTATTTTGGGAGACTTTAACGTGACTCGGTTTACAAATGAGGTTGTGGGGGGAGTGCAAGGGATATATTCTGCTATGAACGAGTTTGACTTGTTCATCAATAATGCCAATCTTGTTGATCTTGTTTTAACTGGTGTTCAGTTCACTTGGTGCAATAAGAGAGACAATGGGAGCATTGCTAAAAAGCTCGATAGAGTTATTGTTAATGAAAAGTGGCTCCTCCAATATCCTAATAGCTACCCTGAGTTCCTTCCTCTGGGCATTTTTTTATCATGCTTGTACTTTAGTTTGTCTAGGCCTTAATTCTAGGGTTCGACGTGTTCCTTTCAAGTTTTTCAACTTCCTTGCTGATCGGGAGACATTATATGTGCTGTTCAAGAATTTTTTTTTTTCTTCTAGAAAGCTTCTCTAGGAGTTCAACACAACCATTATCACTTTAGTTCCCAAAGTCCCCAACCCATCTACCATGGGTGATTTCAGGCCTATTTCTTGTTGCAATACTATGTACAAGATCATATCCAAGGTTCTTGCTAATTGGCTCAAATCTATTCTTCCTCATATTATCAGCAAGTCCCAAACAACTTTTGTTCATGGTAGGAGGATCAGAGCCAATATTTGTTTAGTCCAATAGTTACTTAGAAACTATCACAGGGATAAGGGGTATCCTAGGTGTGCTCTCAAAGTTGATCTTATGAAAGCTTATGATATGGTTGAATGATACTTCATCCTTAGTGCCTTGGTGGCATTCAACTTCCTTCCTGTCATGATCAATTGGATCCATAGCTACATCTCGTCCCCCAAATTTTCCATTTCTGTGAATGGTGAATTGACGAGATTCTTTGCTAGTAATTATCTCTAATATAAATGCTAGCTCTTCTTTTAGATACCATTGACGATGTGAGGCAGTCTAGTTTGCTCATATTTGTTTTACTGATGACCTCTTTAGTTTTGTGGAAGGGATTATCATTCAACTAAGATCTTGAATGACTCTTTATGCAGCTTTAATTTTTTGTCTGGTCTTAAGGCAAACCTAACTAAAAGCTCCATTTTTCTTGTGGGTGTGGATGAAGATGAGCATTCTAGAATTATGTTTCTTTTCAATTTTTCCATAGGAATGTTGCCTATTCGTTACCTTGGTGTGCCTCTCATTTCAACAAAGCTTAATTTGCATGATTGCTCCATTCTTATCAAGCGCGTTGAGGCTAAAAGTAGAGCTTGGGAGAACAAGGTCCTCCCTTTTGCCGATCGTTTACAACTTGTTCAATCTATTCTCTGTAGTATGCAAGTTTTTTGGGCATCACACCTCATGCTCCCTAAGAAAATTCTTTGCGATATTGAGCAAAGGGTCCGAAAATTCTTATGGTCTGGTAAGCTTTCTGGTCATTGTGTTGCTAAAGTTGCTTGGGATGATGTGTGTCTTCCTAAATATGAAGGAGGACTTGGGATTAAAAAATTGATTGGCTGGAATAAAGCGCTTATGGTTAGACATATCTGGAACTTGCTCACCGATGAAGACAATATATGGCCTATCTATCTTTTGAGAAATCTGAACGTTTGGCATATTAAGATCCCCCAAAACTGCTCATGGAATTGGAGGAAGCTTCTCCGATTGAGAGATTTTGTTCGGCTCTTCTTCTTCCAAAAAATTGGAGACAGTAAGGGAACATCTCTTTGGTATGATAATTGGCATCCTTTAAGTCCTCTTGTTATCAATTGGGGTTGCCATATCATTGCTGAGTCCAGGCTTCCAAAAACTGCTTTGGTTTGCAATATTTGGAATGGTTCTAATTGGTGCTGGCCTAATAATTCTTCTCATGAGTTGTTGGAAATTCAAATTTCTATGTCTAATATTGTGCCACATTGTAGCTTGGGAGATATGATTCAATGGACTCCTTCATCGTCTGGCATCTACTATGCTGCTTCTGCTTGGGATAAGTTTCGACAATCCAAACCTACAGTTGGTTGGTCTAAACTTGTTTGGTAAAATCAAAATATTCCCAAGATGAGCTTTATTCTTTGGTTGGCTATTAAATGCAAGCTTTCTACTATGGATAGAAGTATAACTTTTGCTTTGTCGGTTCTTGTCACTTGTGTCCTCTGCTCTAGTGCTACGGAGTCTCATTGCCACCTCTTCTTTAAGTGTCCTTTTACCGATGGTATTTGGTCTTCGGTGCTATTCAAGTGCGGTGTCCCTTGGCTAAGGCTCCCTTGGCCTCTTTTTGTCATGTGGGCTACTAGGTGTTGCAAGGGAAAATCTCCATCTTCGATAATTTTAAAGTTAAGTCTTGCTGTTACAGTGTATTATGTTTGGAGGGAGCAGAACAACCGTCGATTCAAAAACTCAAGTCAACCCACTACAGTGGTTCTCAACTCAATTAAGTCCACCATTAGACTTCGATTGAGTTCTTTGAAAATCACCCATTCCGCTGCTAATGACTCTACTTTACGGGAATGGAATATAACTATGAATAGTTAGTTTTTTTTTTTTTGCTGCTTTGATGTCGCGTTGTTAGCTTTGTTGTTTGTTTTTCTTTTAGTTGCAGCTCTTTGTTGCATGTTTGTAATTTCAACTACTCTTTGCTGTTTGTATTCTATTTTTCTCATCAATATATTTTATTTACCAAAAAAAAAAACGCAGAGGAGAGAGATGAAAGCCACACCTTCAAGGGAGAGCATTTGGCTCTCCCATTTGGAAAATATAGCAGTCAGCTCTCCTATTTTGGGAGATAGAAGCAGACGTAATGTTGACTAAAACATGGGGCATCATTTGGAGAAGGTAGCAACTGCTCTTTGGTGCTCTCCTTAGGCTGCATCATTTGTGTTTTCCTTTGAGCAATCACTCATATTGGTGTTACGTTCTGTAGCTTTTGGGAAATGCATTTAGTATGTATTTTCGTTTTCACACAAACTGAAAACCAATCCAAACCAACCCAACCATTGTCGTTTTACAATTTTGACTTAATCAACTAGGTTGGTTTGATTTCGGTTTAGGCCCAAAACCGACCCAAACCAAGCCAAAACCCACCCCTACTTTTTATGGTGTTCTTTTTTTTGGCCAAGTTTATGGTGTTATTTTTAATTTTCATCTTTTTTTCGGTCAAAATCCGAAAGAAAGGTCACATTATGAATGTGTATACTTGTCTACTTATTATTTATCCGACATTTCTTTTGAAAAAGCATTATTCAAACTTCAAAAAAGTTACCTGCACTACTTTTAAATTCATTTTCTATATATTTCTATATATTTAGACGGTTAATAATAACTCTCAGACTCTTAATTGCAAAACTATTCTCTTTTCAATAAAAAAACCTTTCTTCTTACCCCATATATAATTTTTTTTTAAAAGTATTCTTTTACCACACAACTACAAAAAGATAACGTGGAGATCAAAATTTTTAAACTAAATTTATAAATTAAATGATGTGGTTGTGAATGATTAATTATCTTTTAAGTACATATTAATATGTTTGTTCTTTATTGATAATACGTTATCTAGTTTACAAATATAATTTAAAAATTTAGTATTTATAACATTATTTACTAGCAAAAACAAAACACGTATCAAATGTCACAATTCTTGTTAAATTTTGTTCTAACTAAAATACCAAAGGTCCAAAAAATCAAAAGCAAAGAAGGGGAAGAGAGAAAGAGAAGAAAAGAAAAGCAAACGGCGACGAGAGAGGGAAAAGGAGAGGGGAAAGACAAAGGAATCGAAAGTCGGCGCCTCATGTCTCGTTAGCTTAGCCGACCAATCATCACGTCCTTTTCCCCTCCCCCACCACCTCCTCCTCCTCCTCCCCCCGCCCACCAAAATCCCTCTCTCTCTCTCTCTCTCTCTCTCTCTCTCTCTCTCTCTAACACACATACACACAGAGTTTTCCACTTTCTTATAAAACCCTTACTCCCTCTCTTCCCTCTCATTTTCTTCTCCTCCAGTTTTTCCGTTCTTGTTCCGTTTTATTTTTTGTTTTTAACTTCTTTAATTCCTCTTCTCTGTCTCTCTGCGGTTTCTTCCGTATATATTTTTTCCCAATCGGAAGACGCATCGATTCTATTTGAGATCTTCCCCAAAAATCTTATCTTTTTTGGGTTTTAATTTCTGGGTTTATTTGGAAATTGATTTTTTTTTGCTTCTTTAATTATGAAAGGCGCGGTTGTTCAATCGGTTGTTGAAAGGGTTGAAGACGGCGATAAGGAGAAGAAGAAGAGGCGCAGATCCAATCGCCGATCCAAGCAAAACAATTCCACTTCAGGTACTTCGATCAATTTCCCCCTTTTTTTCTCACTGAGCAAAGATTCATTTTTTTAATTTTAATAACTGGGTTTTTTGTTGCTGGGTTTTGTTAGTGAAACTGCAATCTGAGTTTTTTGAATTAGTTTAAACAGAAATATGATTTGTGGGTATTGGTATTTTTTTTTTCTTCTGTTTATCCTTATGTCAGTAGCGTATTGGTGCTGTTTGGCTGTTGGGTAATATAAGTCCTGGTCAAGGAGTGGGATTATCCTGCAAATGCTAAGGTAATTACTGCCTGATTGGATAAAATTGGACTTCGATGGAGATATATATATTATTCTTTGGGTTATATGCATTCTTAGCATTGAATGCCTTTCTGAATTTTGTTTCTTATGCTCATGTAAAACACTGTTTTGATTTGATTTGTTCTTTTTTCTACTCTATCTGTTTGTCATTTTTGTTGGTTCTGAATTTTATTTTCTTGTCTGTTTAATTGCAGCAGCTAGTCCGATAAATGAAATACGAGGTGAAGTATTTGAGTGCCTGGCAAATGGAAGTATGCCTCATCATGTAAACACATCCTTGAAGCAACTTCAGTTAGACATGCATTCTCCATATGAGCACGGAATGATCAAAGCATCTAATTTTGCCTTCAATTCATTGCCAACAATGCACATCAATGAACAAGTCAACCACGAGGATGTGCAAATTTTGGTATATCAGCACTCTCTCCAATGTGATCCTTCTGAAAGAGTTATTGCAAATTCTTGTCCTAAACCCTTGGCTTGTAGAGGATCACCTGCAATGTTCAAGGATTTCCCTATTCATAACATTGAGAGTCATGCTCGGAGAAAATGTTTTACTTCACACTGGCCCATAGAGGCTGTTAATGATGCTCTGGAGGTATATTTATTTGGTTTTAGACTTTAGTGTGCATTTTCCATGCGAGCTGTTTACTCATTACACATGAACCTGTTTGAAGTTGTATGGTTGCTGAAGAAAATGATATTATGTAATTTTTCCAGAAAGGTGATGCTTTCAGAGCTGTGTTTCGAGTCAATGCACACAACCGACTTGAGGTTTGTGATCTTATTCTTTCTATGTTTATATTCGGATATGTTCTGTGGGATTAGTACCTCTCAATTCTTCAGTCATAAACTTCTTACCTAGCATGCATGCTATGTTCTGTGCTTGTAGGCCTATTGCAATATTGATGGTGTACCAACGGATGTTCTCGTTGGAGGACATGCTGAGCAGAATAGAGCTGTAAGTCTGGAATTATTTTCTTTTACATATTGCATCTTCACTTGGAAACCTTTTAACTTGTTTGCTTTTTTGTCTACTATACTTGCAAGTAGTTGGCTGCCTCATAATGTTACTGTACCACGTAGGCTTCATGATTATTATGGATTGATTATGGTGACATTCCTTTTTGTGGAGAATACAGTTCAATGAGTTAACAATTGCTTTGCATTGATTTTTTACATTTAGGTGGAAGGAGACATTGTGGCGATTAAGGTTGATCCCTTAGTGTTATGGACTAGGATGAAAGGATCAGCTGGGACTTGTACCAGCTCTGCACTGGTGGAGGATTTTAACTTACCACAAGAAGCTAATGAAATTTCTGGTCTTAACTGCAAAGGTAAAGATAAGGTAGACGAAGTGAATTTGTATGATAATGATAGAAGAAGCCTGTTTCCTGAGAGGGGCTCACATCCTGAAGAAAGTAACACCCTTGGTGAATCTGTTAATTCAGAGCGAATTGGACAAACAAGTTATGATCATATGACTGGAAGGTACCCCTCGGCTTCAGATTCTTTACGAGCAGGTTCTCATGGTGAGCAGAATGAAGTTGCAGTTGCGGTAGAGTGGATGTGTGCCACGATCAGTTCATTCCCTTCAAAACGACCAACTGGCAGGGTTGTTGCTATCATTGAAAGGTCTCCTCGTCGAGACGCTGTTGTTGGTTTTCTTCATGTTAAGAAGTGGATTGCTTACAGGGAGGTTTGCAGAAACGACACGAGAAAGAACAAAAATGGATCATTTTCTAACAACGAGTACATCCAGATGACCCCAACTGACCCCAGATTTCCAAAAATGGTGGTCCTTGTGAGAACCCTGCCTGATTCGATCAAGAAAAGATTGGAGAATGGTGATGAGTCAATCGAAATGGAATTGTTTGCTGCCCGAATAGATGAATGGGATGAACAAAGTTCTGCTCCTCAAGCTGTCATCTTGAATGCTTTTGGGCGGGCAGGTGAAGTACAGCCACAAGTTGAAGCAATTTTATTCCAAAATTCAATTAATTGGTCTGATTTTTGTCATGAATCACTTTCCTGTCTTCCTCCTCTCCCATGGGAGGTGCCTCAGGAGGAAATCAAAAGTAGAAAGGATCTTCGAAACCTGTTCATATTTACCATCGACCCTTCCACTGCTACTGATCTGGATGATGCTCTCTCAATTGAGAAATTACCCAATGGAATTTTCAGAGTTGGTATCCACATTGCTGATGTGTCGTATTTTGTTTTGCCTGACACACCCTTAGACAAAGAAGCTCAATCTAGATCAACAAGTGTGTATATGTCACAGAGGAAATTACCAATGTTGCCTCCTTTGCTCTCAGAGGATATTGGTTCGCTTAACCCAGGAGTAGAGAGACTTGCATTTTCAATTTTCTTTGACATCAACCATGTTGGGGATGTTGTTGACCGATGGATTGGCCGCACTGTAATAAGGTCTTGTTGCAAGCTATCTTATGAACATGCTCAGGAGATTATCAATGGGAAACTTAATTTGGAAAGTTCTAACATTTTAGGACATGGTCGTCCTCAGTTGCATGGCCATTTTGAATGGTCTGATGTAATTAGATCTGTCAATGACCTTCATGAAATTTCCAGAGTTTTGAAGGAGAGGAGGTTTAGTGATGGGGCTCTTCAGCTTGAAAGCTCCAAAGTTGTTATTCTGTTTGACGAAAATGGAGTTCCATATGATAGCATGTATTCTGAATGGAAGGACTCCAATTTTCTTGTCGAGGAGTTTATGCTTTTAGCAAATAGAGCAGCGGCTGAAGTCATATCTAGAGCTTTTCCTGAGAATGCATTACTGCGGAGGCACCCAGAACCTACTATGCGCAAACTCAGGGAATTTGAAGCATTTTGTTCTAAGCATGGTTTGGAATTGGATACATCTTCTTCTGGGCAGTTCCAGCAATCATTGCAGAGAATCAGGGAAGAGCTCAAGGATGACTCTGTTCTATTCAATATTCTTATGAATTATGCTACAAAACCAATGCAGTTGGCTTCTTATTTTTGTAGTGGCCAATTAAAAGATAGAGAAAATGATTGGGGTCACTATGGACTTGCTGTTCCTTTGTACACTCATTTTACGTCACCACTGCGTCGGTATCCAGATATTGTGGTGCATCGCACATTGGCTGCAGTTATAGAGGCAGAGGAGTTATTTTTGAAATGTCGGAGAATATTGAATAATTTAAGCAGGGGAGATGAAGTTAAAATGAGATGTTTCACTGGTATTTATTTTGATAAGGATGTTGCTGAATCCTGTGAAATCAAGGAAGCATTATTGGCAGCAGCAATAAAGCAAAGAGTTCCCTGCTCTGAAATGCTTGCTGATGTTGCCGCTTATTGCAATGAAAGAAAGCTGGCTAGTAGACATGTCAAAGATGCTTGTGATAAGCTATACATGTGGGCCCTGCTGAAGAAAAAGGAGGTACCCTTTTTTTTTACTTGTACTTTCTGAGTTGTATTTGGATGTTAAAATCTATGGCTTCATTGTTACTATTTAGCTGTAAAGCAGTGCAAGAGTTTCTGCCCGTCTTTTCATCACCAGTAACCTGATATAAAATGGTGTTTATGTATTTTTATGTGCCTAAACCAACTATTGCGTCCCATATTATACTAACGATGTTGTCACCATAACATAATAGTGTTACCTGACCTCAGATCACTTGGTGTTGAACAGACTCATCGCATCCTCATTTTATTAGCAATCATTGTCTTCATTCTTGTTTAGTTGAGCTAGATGGTTCCTACTGTTGTTTTGTTCTGCTCTCATTTTGCATTTACGCACTAGATGCTTTAGCTTCGTTGTCTGTGCTTAATGTCTGGCTTTTTTAGCAGTTGCAGATTGTCCTGTCAGAAGCAAGAGTATTGGGTGTAGGACCTAGGTTCATGTCCATTTATATTCACAAGCTTGCTGTAAGTAGCTTTTATGGTGTCATGTATTTTTATGCCAATATAGTATGGGTATCCATTTGCAATTGACTGTTACACACTACGTGCCTTCAGGTTGAACGTCGAATATATTATGATGAAGTTGAAGGCTTGATGGCAGAATGGCTTGATGCGACGTCCACAGTGGTGCTGAATTTATGTTCTAACAGACGCTCGCTTAGGAGAGGTAGTCCTGGTAAATGGAGGGCACTTGAAGATGTTGCCTTGGTTGTAAGACCTTATGGCCTCAAAGCTGAACTAGGCGGAACTGGAAATAGTTCTAATGAGGGTGCTGGGACCCAAGATGTTGGCGGAGCCACCCATAGTGAAATCGATCCTTTGGTTTTCCCCCTTACACTGCGTGTTCTTTCAACCATTCCTGTAGTGCTTCATGCAGTTGGAGGGGATGATGGACCCGTCGATATTGGGGCAAGGCTGTACATGAGCTCATATCTCTGCTAGATTGGGGTTTGAACTGGTTAACCTAGTTGCCGATTGATGGAACTTACAGAGACGAATGGTTTATTACAGATGAATGATAACAGGTCAGGTTCTGTTGCTTATAGGAATTTAGTGTATAGACTGGATAGAGGTTTAGAAGAAAATAATAACTTTGTGGTTTAGATATCCGCTGATGCTCTATGGATTTGTCTTATGGCGAAACATTTTGTGGAAGGGTGTTGATAATGGAGAAAGGGGGTGTGTCTTAGTCTGTGTTATTGGCTTATCGCAGCTGTTTTTGATAGAGCTGCTTGCTGGAATAGGCCGCTGTTTTTGTTGGCCAGTCTCGTCCAGTGTAACTCGGTGAATATGCGCCTGCTGTGTCAGGCCCTTTGACACCGAGTTGTTTAAGCCAAAATTGGGTTGGGGGTGGTTAATTTTCTGTTTTTGTTATTCCTGGACTGCTGCCCATAAGGTTTTTGCTGTTTATGATCTGGTTTGTTCTTGTGACATGAATATGGGACTGGCAGTCTCCAGTTGAATCATATGCAATCGCAACACTTATGTGAATTACAGTTTCCAACTTTATTTGCTGTTTATGTTTATGCCATGGATTAGGTATTGCCAACTTTCCAGTGTTATTTTGGATGACAGTTTTCTTCCAAGTAATATGATTCTTCACATCAAGTGTGTAATAACTAGCAATGATATTGAATTCACCCCCAACCCAAAGAAAAAAATATATTAACTTTTTGTAAGATTTGGTGGGGCAATAACCCCGGCGCTTGCCACGTCATTATTCAATATCCAAATAGAAATAAAATTTAGCAGAGGGATGGCATTGCAATATGTTGTAAGTTGATATATGACATTACAATATTTAAAAGATGAGACATGATTTGTTATAGGACGTAAAGTTGAGACATTACAATATTTAAAAGATGAGACATGATTTGTTATAGGATGTAAAGTTGAGATAGTAAAATGTAATTTACTCTAATAATAATGCAGACCAAAAGAGTAATGACATTTACTAGTGTCAGTGCTATTAAAATGCAAAATGATTTTTACACATCATTTTTAGCTGCTCAACACTCCTCATTATTTACCGTCACATTGGATAAATCAAATTAAAATAATTGACATGAATAAATAAGGGTTTGTGAGAAATTAAAAACGTTGTCCGTTTATCATTTCTCTTGAAATTTCTTTCATATATCTCAGTTGGTTAGTTGGTCAAACGGCAATTTTTGAGACTGTTAATAGAATGACTAACATGCGTTTAGTTATAAGTCGTTTAAGCACTCTCTAGAAAAGTAGATATTAGATATTTTTTCATAATCTACTTTTAAGTGATATTTTAGAAAGCATTTGGATTTATAATTGAAGATTAGAAGTTTCAATGTATATACATAAAATATTTGTTAATAAATTTGGTGTTTTATTTTGTTAATTTGATTGAATAGATGTGAAGATAACGAAATATGGTGGTGGTATTGAGAACCTACCAGTATTCATGACCCTAAGATGTCTACTCCGCCCCCTACGAGTTCATCCAGGGTATGATTGTAATTTTCTTGCAAGCGTGACATTGGAAATAAGAGTGATACTGTCTTATTTTTTCACCCCATTTTAATAAAAATAATAATGACATATTTATACTTTTAGATCCTTATTTTTAAATTTATTATAATCTTCCTATCCAAAAAATGGAAAATGAATGAAAAAACTGAAAAAGCTTTAGCAACCTTTCACCTCCCTCAGCCTCTCTCTCTCTCTCTCTCTCTCTCTCTCTCTCTCTCTCTCTCTCTCTCTCTCTCTCTCTCTCTCTCTCTCTCTCTCTCTCTCTCTCTGTGAATTTTGTTTGGGTCTATATTTAACATTGGACTTTGTGATAATGGAGGCCCAGAGATGCAAAAGGAAATAAAGACTTGCCCAAACCTAGTCGATAGGCCCGAGATAAGTGAAAGCTATTTTCAGCAAGGACATAGACCACATGCCTATGATTGAAATGATGGGCAACGGAGAACACCTCACCACTAGCCAAGAAGCACTTTTCAGGAGCATAAATAAGTAAATAGGTGATGACTCATTACCTTCCGAAAGATATCAGCAAAAAGTAAGACCTGAGAAGTCGGGCCAAATTTTGTATAAAATTAGAAAGGGACACTAGAGATAAGGACACTCAACCAACCAATCAAAAGACATTCAAACTCTGCTCTCTAGCTAGTTCATACTCTGAAAGCTGAATTTTGTCCAGATCCAGTCTCTTTTAGTTATAGTTCCCTCAGGCAAAACCATCTTTTGTCAAGTTTAGAAGCTTTGCTACCTTCTCTTAGTGTTGTAGTATCGATTCCCTCTAGTAAAACTCTCTTACTTTTCATCCTCCAAAGCTTACCAACCACTGTAAACACAAAGAGAAGCGGTCGAAAGAAGTTTAACCTTGATGGTGGAGCCTTGGGGCTAGTTACTATGAGACAACATGTATTTCAGGGACTATGGGTTCCCCAAAAGCTGGTGCTGATTGATGGGTGGTCTCGTGCACTGGAGAAGACTGACAAAAGAGACAACACAGGTTGTAAGTTATTAAATAACTGGAAGAGAAAATTTAAGGAAGAGTTTAAAGAGATAAGACTTACAGAGGTGTCGTCAACCTCCGCATAATGAAGCATCTCCCCAATTGTTAGATTGAACTAGGAAGTAAGAGTCATCACCATGGCTGGAGGAAGAGTGGAAGTACCTCCGCTTGCCTAGACAACAACATAAGTGAATGATCAGCCTTTGAAATTCAGAAAATACAACTTAACCAGTGTTGAGGAAGAGAAGTGTACCTCTGAGGGCTCAGCCCGAGAAGGAAAGGGATGCGCCAATCCAGCTGGAGGAGAATAAGGCTCGAGCTAAGAGGTCCCCTCTGCTTTGGTATCCTATTTCAAGAAAACAACAAAGATTTAGTAAGAGTATTAAGGAAAGTGAACTTCAAAATAAACTTAGTACTCAAGATTTGAAAAGTTATACCTTTAACTCCTCAAAGATCTTGGTGAGGACCTCATTGTTGTCATGTTGCACTTCTCTGCCCAACTGCGTTTCTTTGGGAGTGGGGGCAGGTTTCTTAGTAGCTAGAGGCCCTAATTACAAAGAAGAGAAGGGATTAGTTCAAAACTTAGAAGAATCAAGGTTAAAGAAAGGACAAAATCCATAATACTTACTAACAGCTTTTTGTTTCTTCCTGCCCTCTTCAGCTTTCTGAGACCTATTCTTCTTCTTGGTAGGAGTAGTTTTTAGGCCAGGTAAGGCAAGTTGAGCTTGGGGCCTCTCCTCAGGCTAAAACTGCGACGATTCCACCACAGAAGCCCTCGCCCGACGAGGGGCCCTTGTTTCCACTTTAGGCCCAACTTCAGCCTCTGATTCACTAAAGAGCTCGGAAATATCCCCGGCATCCCCAGAAGTATGGATGGACCCTACACCTTGCCTTGCTACATTCGCAGTAGCCTCTTAATGTACCAAGGCATCTGCAGCCTCTTCTTCTTGCCCGACATCCATTTCTTCAGTGTTGCCTTGGGCTGCAAAATCAGAAAAGGGGTTAACAAGCGACAAACTATAAAAGCACTAAGGTAGAAAAGGAGCAAAAAATGGTTCTTTTAATTAACGGCCTCATTCCAACTTTCGAACTCATCTTTCTTGGGGAGATACTTGAAGAAGACCTGCCCGAAGAGTCTATTGTAGGCCTTCCTAATGTGCCTATCATACTTCTTAGACCACTTGGCCTCCCACCAAGTGGCAAACTGAGAAATGCATTCGAAGTTCAGGGCCACAGACTTGTGGGTGATCCTACTCATCACCTCAAGGCTGGGCCGAGTTGCCCGAAAAATGAACTCAGAGGGAGAGCGAAGATGATATAAGGTCCCGTAATGCAAAGAGTTGAAGAAGGGCACTAAGATTGCCTACCTGAATTCCAGTTGTCTACCACAAAAGTTGGGGTGGTAGACCTTTAGCACACACTCATATCCAGTTCGGTCACTTTGAACTCCCCAAGTTAAATCTTTCTGTTAGATGTAGCTGATGAATTTTTCATTACACGAGCTGCTGGCATCCTTGCAGAATGAATCTTAGAAAATTTGGTTCGAGAACCAAGGGTTCCTCCTAAGCACAGAGGCATAGAAGCACCCCATTCCAAATCTGACCGAGTTCGACATATTCTGAAGAAGTAGAGGCAAGCGAAAGCGGAGTGATCGGTGGTGGAAGCCTCTGCTAGGATTCAGGCTGGAGCCACGCCCTGAGGGAATTCCAAGTTGGTAGCCCGAAACTGGGGAAAGTACCACTAGAGCCAAAGCTGCACCATTTATGTGGCCCTATTGACATTAGTCTCGAATGGCTCACCCTTTGTCATTTCATGGAGAATGTGGTAGAGATGTGCCAAAATGAAGGGCCTCGTCGCGACATCGTTAAATGAATGCAAAGCTTAGTGGGATCTACTCCAGCTTTACACCCTTCAACTTGTTGGGGAACACATGTTTGTTTAACCAGTAGATGAAGAAGTAAATATGTTCCTGGGCCTTATCTACAGTAAAAGAGGGCGGGGTGAACATCTTCTTGGCAAAGAAGATGAAGCCCACGAAATAAGTCCTATAGCTTTTGAAAGTGGAGGAGTTGTACTCCAAGTGGGTGATTGGCTTAGAGGCCTGTGAACTTTCAGCTGTTGGGCAAGAAGGCGTGGACTAGTCGTGTATGATATCCACACACTTGCCCGAGGGCCTCAAGCTGAAGACTTAAGTCATGTCCAAGACTGTGGGGGGTCATAGAACCCATTATAAAATTGAATGTATTTGTCCCATTATTCCAGAAGAGAAGTGCAGTGGCTAGAAGCTCAGGCTTGGCTGAAACAGTGACCTTGGACATCATGATAAGCTCATAAATGCCATTCGACATCCATTGCTGCTTCCAAATTGGCTCTAATTCATCTAGCCACTAAGATCAAGCCTCGTTCTTCACCAAAGGAAAGCTTATCCTGAAATTCGACCACTTGGAGGCAAATATCCTAGCCTCGGTAAAGTAAAGGTTGGGAGTAAACCAATTGGCAGTGGGGCATATTGTTCTCTACTGCAATTAAGACTTTGTCAGTCCAGGCAGGCCCCAGAAAGTGCACCCCTTCATCCTCAAAGAAGATGGATAGATTCAGCCTAGCTTGAGGGCGATGAAGACTGCTGAGTCGATGATGCAGATTGACGATTCTTTCTCCAGATTCACATGCAGGGTGAAGTTTGGGGGGACATGGTTGATTTAGAAGAGAAGAAATGAAAGTGATTGATGGCAGAAGGTAAGAAAGGGATGAGAGTGTAAAAGATTCGAGAGTTCTAAAAATTCAGAGAGATGGGTTTGCTAGAAGTGATGGTCGAGGAAATTTAAATGGAAGCTATTTAACGGGCAGTTAGTTAACGTTGGAGATCATGGGTTGGTGCAAAGGTCAATTTAGAAGAGAAGAAGTGAAAGTGATTGATGGTAGAAGGCAAGAAAGGGCTGATAGAGTAAGAGATTCGATAGTTCTAAAAATTCAGAGAGATGGGTTTGCTGGAAGTGATGGCCTAGGAAATTTAAATGGAAGTTATTTAACTGGTAGTTAGTTAACGTTGGAGATCGTGGGTTAATGCAAAGGTTTATTTGAAAACGACTGAGTAAATGGCACA